TTTTTTTTATTTGTTCCTTCGTTAATATTATAATATTATTGATAAAATGAAATCGTAAATTATTTATGTTGATCATTTAGTTTTGCCGAAAATATAAAATTATAATTATTTATACCGGACGTATTATCAAATTGGACAACGGCAAATCAAAATTCCGTACGAGAACAAAACATTTTAAAATGTTCAAAAAATCCGAACTGAAGGTGAAAAATAAAAAAAATAAAAAACGGGTAACCATACGGATCGATAACAGTGACGACGGAAATCGATCTTCGGGGTAGTGTCGTAGCAACAGCGTCAAACGCGCGATAATAAGCGCACACGTAACCCGGTATTGCACAAGAAACACGACGCGAAGAATACGCCGACGTGTGTATTTAATAAGTTAGAATAACAACATAATATTATTTTTTAAATTTTTTTCCGTAAAAAACCGACTACATTTTGTCACGGCCGAGATTCGGATTGTTTAGCAATACAGAGTAAAAAAACAAGAACAAATCTAACCCGAGTGCAAATATACGAATGTAAAACGACGCAACGCTTTTGGCCGTACGGTTTTCGTAACGAATTACGACGCGATAGAGCGAAAACCGATGTTAGTAAAACGTCATTAACTGCAGTGATATTTCCCCCCCCCCTACGGCGGTTCCGAATTATTTTCCGCGCGATTTCTCGTATTTATATTACCCACAACCTCCTCCCCTTCCCCTCCGCCGCACAACTCGCTGTATTATGATGGCGGCGGTTATCGAATTGAGCGCGGCCTTTGAAAAAAAAAACACAAACACACAGAATTCCCATGCGGCGCTCTCGCGATATTTTATTGTAATTTTTCGTACGCGCGTTTTTCCGTCGACGCGACGACATCGTTGACCGTCAAAAGGTAAATCAGCGGCGGACGAGGAGAAGGAGGGGTGAAAACATAATTTACGCGCGTTCATAACGAACCTTTGTACAAAAACGCCGCGACGAGTCACGTACGCGCTTGTATCATACCTAATGTGTACAAAAAAAAAAGGATTTGTAATTTTTTTTCAATCAATTTTCTTTTTTTTTTTTTATCGTAAAAATTATTACCTGTTCGGGGACCTTTTGCGCGTCATCAATCGATCCGAGCGTTTACCACGGTTCGCGTAACGTCGTGCAGACGATAGCGGCGGAACCGGCCCGTGGACGACGTTTACCATTGGTAAAAAAAAAAAAAATCGAAAAAAGTCTACAAGCTTTCGTATCGTTCTCGCGGGCGATAAGGTTTAGGGCGAGAATCCCGGAGGACACCCGAACAGCGTAATATAACGGGTAGTTTCCGAAACATTTATGTCTGTAAACCGTTTGCGAACGAAAAACGATTCCGAGAGACTTTCGGTTAAGTAACGGCGCGTCGATCGAACACTCGAACGTTTTATCAGCTATCCGTATTGCGAAAAATAAATACTCTGGTTGATCGTATTTTAACGAATTATGGTAAAAAAGAGTTTAATTTTTATGTGCATAAAAAAAAAAAATCGATTTCAAATAGCATCGCTTCGGGAAATCGCCAACATAAAAATGTGTATTTAGCGAAATTTTTCAACGATTATTTTCCAATGCATTTTCAAAAAAAAAAAAAAAAATGTTCGTAGGGTTACATAAAGTTATTTAATTTACATTTGCACGAAACGATACACGTAACACGTTTCTGAGCGAATTTCCGTTATACTTGATTTGAAATTCCATTTTTACGATTTCCATCAAAATGTCAACGCGTAAGTGAAGACGACTCGAAAAAACGCATGCAGGAAAAAAATAAAAACTTCTACATTACACGTAATATTTTTCAGTTTCGACCAGTACGTACGACTTACAACGAACCGCGTGTTAGATTTCAAGCGTTTCTGTTTAGTCGAATAATTGTTACATCGACACCTGCCGCCAAATAACGAAAAAAAAAAAAAAAAACGAAAATGTCAAACATCTACGAATAGACGGCGAAACGCCGGGATTTTTTCAAAATTTTTCCGCGTCCGAAAAAGTTCAATACTACTGTATTCTGTGGAAATTTCCGTTCGCCAAGAATATTTTTTTCAGCGAATGAAATCGCTTTTTCGCCGTAAATCACCCGGTTTTCCTACGGTATTTCGCGGTTACGCATGATTACCGACCGGACGCGCCGTGAATTCGCTATACCGCGAACCGCCCCCCCCACCCCCGGGAGTCGATTTTTCGGACCGATTTCCGACCGATGAAAAAACCAAAAATAAAAACAACGGCCGCGATCCGGTCACTGTAATCAAAATGGCGGCCGCGGCGGTCATCTTTAATATCCCGCGACGGTGCGGACGCGAAGACGGCGGCAAAGTAGACGCGCACCCGAGAGATAATATTACGTGGCGGGCGGCGGCGAGATGGAACGAAAAATAGCCACCTCGACCGGTATATAGCGGCGGAGACGACGGCGAAGGGGGGCGCGCGCCGCGGTAGACACGGCCACTTGTAACCGTCGTCGTCGCGCACGCAGCCCGATCGCGGCGCCGCTACAGCGTGGTACTTACCGAACAGCCTGTTCCCGGCGACGATCGCACGGGATCCTCTTGCCGGCCGCGACGACAACACGCGCACTTGTGTTCGTTTACGAGACGTGATAACGGCCCACCGAACGCACTCGTGGCCGGTACGAAATCGCGGGGGATTATGGGGGAGCGAGACGGAAATTACCGGGACGCGCGATTGTTATTTGTTTTTCGGCGCGGTACAGAAGTCCCGGGGGCGCTGAGGAATGAAACGGCGTCCGGAGACGCGGACGCGATACGGGACGGTGGTGCGCGACACTCGCGCGATGAGAATGCGACGACCGACGACCAAGACGAGACGGAACCCGGCGGACGCCCACGATCGTCTGGCGCACACCAGAGACCACGCGCACCGCAGCATCAAATTCGCCCTTCCGGCCGTCCGCCGCCGCCTACACCTTGCCCCGGCACCGCCGTCGACGGGATAGGAATCTACATATACGAGGTGATTCTTGATTATTTATTTATTATTACTCAGATGTACTTGTAGTTTAGGCGTTAGAAGTTTTAGGAATGGTTAGGTAAGTTCCGTAGTTCGATTCCTAACGTGCCTTTGGAACCGACCAGTGTGGCAACGTATTCCAGAACGTGGCCACCCAAATATTTTCTTTCGTACTTTTGGACATCCTTTTATGATTAAAAATATTTCCTGTTGGGTAGTCTTTAGGACTTATCTGCATTTAGACATTCGGTAGCTAACAGATATACTAAGGGCATTCCAGACAGGTCTGAAATTTAAACATTTTAATAAAACTTTCTATAAAGAGTTACTACGTTTGAAAAGGTTGTTCCAATCCATTTCTAGGTGTAACTATGTACTGTTAAAGCATGCAAAATAGGATATTCCATTAAGTAAATTAAATCAAGATAAATTAAATACAATTTCTGAAGAACGTAGTATTGATTCTGTAATAGCAGATTATAATCTTCTTGTAGAAAAAAATGCGTATTTAATAAAAGAACGACAAAAATTGCTTCAAACATTTCAAAATACAATACAAATACTAAAAACCGATTTTGAATTTTTCAAACATTTTATAAAAGAGCTATTAACTGAATGGTTATTTATATTTTTCAAATATATAAAACAATTAAAATCGGAATATTCATTGGAAATCAAATTGTGTCATAATAATTTGATTGCCACAAAAAACAAGTTAGAATCAATTCAAAAGACATATTTCATATTAAAATCTGATTGAAAATTTGTTTATATGTTACATAGGTATAATTGTTTTATTTTCTTGAATCGTAATCAATATGTTAATAGATTAAAAACTTTCGACAACAATATTAATAAGTACTTACCTAGGTACCTAACAGATNTCAACTACAGAAGGAAATTAATTTTAACAGAATAAGTGAACAACGATTAGTGAAAGAAGAAGTGAGGGAAACCATTCAAGAACTACAAGATTGTATAGAAGTACAAAAAAAAACATTTACTGACCTACAAAATGAATATTTTAATTATCAAGTGATTGAAAAGGAAAATTGGACAAATAAGTTAACACAAACTGAAAATAAGTGGTTAAAGAAAATGAATAACTACAAAAAATTGATGGATACAGAGCATAGAGAAGAAGTAGAAGCTTTAACTAATGAGTGGTCTAAGGAACGAAAACAAAGGCCAAATTTAGAGACTGCTGAATGTAAAAATGAAAAAGCACTTGAAAAAATCATTCAAGATGTTGAAACTACTTCACAACGAGAAGAAGTTTTACAACGCCAAGTAACTAGACTTGCTAAAGAACTTGGTGAATTAAAAAAAAATTACAGAAATGAAGTTTATAATAAACCTAGAACCAATGATATGGATGATGATAATAACAAAGGTGGATGTGAAATGGAATACTTAAGAAATGTTTTATACGAATATATGATGGGAAGGCAACCTATGGTTTTGGCAAAAGTGTTAGCTGCCATAGTAAAATTTGATTCCAATCAGTTGAACACTGTACTCCAAAAAGAAGAACAGAAAGTTTCTTTAACAAAAACTTTAGGCATGTAATATTAACTACCCAGAAGATATATGAAATTAAGTATACACATTATAATATTGTCATCA